CCCCTCACAGGCAGGAACCTCAACTGTTGTGCTTGTCACACTAGACTGGATTTGATTTAATTGGCACTCCTGGACTGAGGGCCTTGGCATAGAGGCTGTCTTAACACCTAGCATAACACATAGTAGGTGTCCAGCGGATGTTTGGAGAATAAATGCCCTTTCGTTTTTCAGGTAAAGATGTTAAAACCAGCCAGACCAGATAACCGGATCACTTAAGTGACTTGTCTTGAATTGCATCGCTCCATAGGGCCACATGAGGATGAGCAGCCTGGGCCCTTGACTCTTACTCCACAGATCTGGTGTTCACATTTCACTGTCATACGTTGTTGTGCCTGGGTTCCCTGCCCTCTCTGAGTACAGTGTCCATATGTTATCTAATCTTGAGTACTTTGGGGAGTAAAAGGGGCACTATTAATTATACTGAGATGAACCAGGACTTTACTGGCATGTGGTCTTCCTACCTCTGGCTGGTTCCTCCTTGGCTCTAGTCAATATATTTTTATTATAGAGAATGGTTGCTCAATTCTCTTGCACATGAGAACAAAGGTCTCTCAAAATTAGTCCTTGTAACAGAGGTTGACTCTCCTCCCATGCCTGGGCACTGGTCCTATCAGTCAGGGATCAGCCCAGTGACTTACTTAATAAATATCTATTTGTGATTTGTGTTTACCAGCAAACAATTATTGAGCGCTTTCTGTGTGTGGAGCTCTGTCTGGGCCTGTTGCTACATCTAATTTACTTTGACAGGCCAGCCAGCAGGTAGCTAGGGGCCTATGCCATGGGGCTGGAATTGGCTGGGAAACAGTGGTCCAGCCCCACCAAGGTAGTGACACATCACTCTGTTTTGTCTGGTGGAGGCCTGATGCCATAACTTGTTTCCTTCCTAGGAAGTGCCAGCCAAGCTGTGCTGTCTTAGGACCTAATGTGGATAACTGAAGGGTCCTTGACTCAGCTCCTGAGGCCGGAGCACAAGCTTGCAGGAGAATGGAGCTGTTCGTTCAGGATTAATAATTCTGATTTAGACTCATAGGCTTCCAAAGTTGAAAAAAATGGATCTTGGGGTTTGACTTGTTACCCTCTATCCATGCATGGTCTTCTTCTAGCACCGCTCAGACCCCCTTATTTTGGAGGCACCTCATTTCTTTTAGGCCTTGTCTTCTTGAGAGCTCTGCCTCCTAAGCCTAGGATGATTTCTCCTATTGTTGTATGTATTCGTGTATACACAATTACACATCCAAGATGTGCCTAGTTTTTGTATATGTGTGCATCTTAAGTTCTCAAATAATTGTTTCATTAGATATGTGATTTATATGATTTTTGTGGCCCTTTATCTGAAGAGCTCATAGCACTTTATTGTCTGATTTTTAAAATGAAGAATTTTAGAGAGAGAAGAACTAGTTTATAAAATCTTTCCTTCACAGAGAGAAAAAGGGTATGGAGAGAGGAGTGTGCAGGGACATTGCTGCAGGTTGAATCCTCAGAGACCAAGGAGAATTCCAGCCCCTTCCTCCCCATCCCACCCATGTCCAATCCTAAACCAGGGATTTTTCCACTCAGCTCATGGGGATGGTTTGGAGAAGAAGGGGGTGGTGCATGAAAAAGGCACCTGCAACTGCAGTGTAGGCCTCCTCAGTATCCTGGGGGGAGACCTCTATGGTGACGGTCCCTCCAGCTGCCATTGGCCTCCCTGCTCAGGGGGGGCAGAGAGCTGAGACTCCCCTCTTTCAGGGAGGCAGCTCTGGGGGAGGAGCAGGGCGGAGGGCACGCCCTCCCTGCCCGTTGCCAGGGTGACCGGGCCCTGGGCTCTGAGCAGCTCCTCTTACGGATTACGCTGTTCCGCTGTTCCGCATTCTTGTCTGCTGTGCCTGAGCGGGAAGCCATTGTCTGCCTCCAGAGCCCTGTGAAAGGGAGGATTAGAGGCCCCTCCCTTCCAGCAGTGGTTTCCTTTTTTCTGTTTCCTTCTGAACCTTGAGGAGAGGCCAGCACTCTTGGGAAATTGAATGAGGAGCTGTTTATCTCAGTCTGCGCCTTCAGATTTTTCATAACTTGCCCATCTCCCATGAAGAGGAAGTCTTGTACTTACCATTTGTGTCCTAGGTAGAACTTGACAGGAACTGACCAGCCTTGTGACACCCCACCCCTGCCGAGCCCCTGATGCCCGCAGTGCAGCCTCGTGGCATTTGTATGGCTCATCTCACAGAATCAGAGCAGGAAAGCACCTCACACATCTTCACTGAGCCTGTTTCGTAGAAAAGAAAACCGAGGCTCTGAGGGGGGGGGTGTGGGACTTACCCTTGGGGACAACGACAGAGCCTGGAGGAGAACCAGGTCCTCTGACTCCCCAGGCAGTATCTTCTGCACACATCACACTCACATGCCACCTGCTCTGTTGTTATCCTCCCCTTTCTGTCACCAAGGTCCTGAGTGGGATGGAGCAGTTCGCTTAACTGACATCTTGGCAGCTCTTTCTTCATATCCTCTTGCCTCACTCTGCCCTTCCTGAACCCCACCGTGGGGGGTTTAATCCTTACGTGGTGTTTTCACCTTTACAGACAAGATAACAAAGCCCCGAGGACTCTGTAAATGTCCAGTTGTTTGTTTGTTTACTTGTTGCTGGGAGAGGGATGTTCCTTACCTAGACTGAAGAGACTGGTGGTTATTTTTGGCAATTTTTTTTTTGCGGTAAAATATATGTAACAGAAAATTCACTACTTTAACCATTTCAAGTGTACAGTTCAGTGACGTTAAGTATATTCACAATGTTGTGTTGCCATCCCCACTCTGCATTTCTAAAATCTTTTCATCACCCCAGACAGAAGCTCTATGCGCATTAAACAGTAACTCCCCACCCTGCCACCCTCACCTCTACCTCTCCCCTCCTCTGGTAACCTCTTACTTCTGCCTTATGCATTTTCCTATTCTAGTTACCTTGTATAGTTAGACTTGTACACATTTGTCCTTGTGTGTCTGGCTTATTTCACTTAGTATAATGTTTTCAAGGTTCATCCATATCTGTACCAGTTAGTGACAGTATAACTTTGAGCAGATCATTTAACCTCTCTGGGTACCAGTTTCCTCACCTGTAAATAGGGATGATGATACCTTCTGTGCCCACCTCCCAGGACTGTTGTGAGGGCCAGTTTATTTACTAATGCAATAAACACTTATTCGGTGCTTGCTGTGTGCCAGGCACTATGCTTGGCGTCAGGGATCAAATGGTGAGCAAATCCTTGTGCTCATGGTATAGTATGGGAAATTTACTTTGTAAATCATAAAGCGTCGGCCTTCCGAATGCAGGTTGTTACCTTCCTTGTTCACCTGTAGCCCTTATTCCTTCATGCTGACATGCGCTACACCTACCCCAGCTGAGAACCTGCTCTAGAGAAGATGCTCTCCAGCCTCTCTTCCACCTTCCTGGTGAAGGATGAAGTGGTTTCTCTGGGTGCATCCTGCAGCTTTTGCAGAGTCAGGACTTTGAGAGTATCCTCAGGCACACCTGTACCTGCCAGACCTTCCTCCTCACTCTCCTGCATTCTCTGTTCCCAGGTGGCCATCAAGTCGATCCGGAAAGACAAAATCAAAGATGAACAAGATCTGATGCACATTCGACGAGAGATTGAGATCATGTCATCACTCAACCACCCCCATATAATTGCCATCCATGAAGGTACAGAGGCGGGCCATTTGAAGCTCAGAGTGTGTACGTGCGTATGTGCGTGTGCGTATGTGCGTGCGTGTGTGTGAGTGTGTGTGTGTGTGTATGTGTAGAGGCAGTCAGAACAGATGATACAAAGAAATGATACACAGGCTTTCAAGTTGGGCAAAAGCTGGATTTGAAACCCAGCAACTAATTCAACTTAGTGTCTGGGTGGAATAACCCTACCTATGTCACAGGGTAGTTGTAAAGATCAAATTAAATGTCACCGAATACTCAGCTCATGGGAGGAACTCAACAGATTGTAGGCTATTTTGTTGTCATTGTTAGGCTTTCCATACTTGAACATAACCTCTCCACCCCAATGAGACCCTCAGCAATATGGGAAGGCTGAAACATACATAGACCTGCACCTGTCTCAGGCATGTGGGTGCTATTCTTTATATGTCCCAAGAGCCAGGCCTCCTGGAGTCTGCCTTGTACTCTGTCTGAATCATTCCTGCCATGGGGCTGACTCCCACCTCTCCTCATCTCTCTCAGCCTCTTCTTGCTCTGACATCAGTGCTGGCTCTCCACTCCAGCTGCCGTGTTCCCTGTGACCCAGACAACAGGATGAGCGAGAGAGGGTGACGAGGGGAAGAGGGGGAGCACCCTCCCACACACACCTGTCTGCTTGCAGCCCTTACATAATTATCTGTTAGATGGAAACAAGGAACAGCGGCAGCAGGAGGAAGGAAAGGGAGCCTGTGGCTTTGCCCTCTATCTGAATATTCCCGGTGAAGAGTAGGAGAGGAGTCTTCTCTCCTATTCGTAGGAAGACTAAGGGCAGAGCCACTGACATAGCCTCACGGCCTGAGCCTGTCCCTCAAGGAGCCCAGGCAAGCGGCTGAGAAAGTTAATTGTATCTCTGTGCATTTCCCCCAGGGAAGAGTGGACAGATGACAGAGTATTGGTGGTTGGGGGTGCAGTATATGAATGAGTGAGTGAATTCTACCCCACACGTATATCTCCAGCCAGACCCAGCAACTTAGTTTTGAAACTCAAGATGTGACTTCTCCTTCAAGTTTAGCAGACATAGGACCGTCACAGTTACTCTGTGTCTGGCAGGGCTCCCCCAGTTCCGTTCCCATCCTGTCACAGCCTTCAGGAGATATGGACTGGGTAGGTGGGGAAACTGACCTCTAACCTAGCTTCTGTCCAGAATGTGCTGGCTCTTGACCCCCAATTTCATGGCACAGAGGCTGCAAAGATATGGAGAACCACAGGGGTGGAGGCTCAGCTTGGCAACCCCCAGGAGGCTAAGCCACCATGTATCAGGGCCACTTACTCACTGTCCCCTAGGGAAAAAGCTCAGTCCTCCTGGCCATGTATCCAACTGCCTGGGACTTGGGACTCTTACTGGGAGAAGCTGCTTTGCTCAGCTCCTTCTCACAGGCTAGACAGCAGTAGCTCTGGGGCTGGCCGAGCAAGCCAAACTCCTAGGACTCGTTTGACACAAAGATGTGATGTCAGGGGCATACGTGTTCTGACACATACTCACCCGAAGGGCCAGTTTGGTGAACCAGTCATTCCCTACCTTTTTAGAGGGCTGGAGCCAGGACAAGGCCCGAGGTGTCAAGAGGGCCCCTCCTACACATGTTGATGAGCCAGCTAGGGCAGGCTGACTGCCAGGAGCCCAACCAGTCAATTAATTATCAAATATTTATTGATTGCTTCTGTAGACAAGGCCCTGGCAGTTGTCTGGGCAAGAAGTCGAAGATATTGGAAGAGATGAATATCTCTGCTCTCTATGGTACTTTATAGTTTACAAACCACTTGATTCTTTTATCCCTCTTCTGATCTTCAAGGCAGGCATTTTATGGGCATTATTAGTCAAGTATAAATATGAGGACGCTGATAATAAACGTAACAGTAGGTGCCATTTATTGAGTGCTTGTTCAGCCAGTCCCAGAGTTCTCACTGACTGTGTCTAGTTTTCACCCCAGCCCTAAGAGTTTGCCATTATTATCCCACCCCTCAAATGAGGTGACTGAGGAATGCTGGTTGAATAACTTACAAGGATCACTCAGCTAATAAGTGATGGGGCCAGGATTCAAACCCAAACCTGCATTCTTCCTGATGGATCTAGAAGAGATTTGCCCAAGGTTACGAGGCAAAAAAAGCACCAAATCCTGAACCAGAGAGCCTACCTTTCATTCTCATCCAGTGATGTCACTGCCTTCCTGGGCATTTGCAGGGTAGTTTCAAGAATCCTCCAAAGCCTGAACTTCCAAAGAAAGGGAGGGTGAGCCAGTTCCCTGGGTCTTAACTCATTGCTCCTGGAAGATTTGAGAGCTTCAAAGGCCCTTCTCCTGCCCTTACTCGCCACTCTCCTGCCCCATTAGCAGACATTCCTTGAGGGAGGTTCTGCCTGGTCTGGGTCCAGGGAGCGACCAGTGGACCCCGGTTGGGGAGCAGTGTACGCTGGTGGGGCCTGATGTCCTGCCTTGCTGTGCCCCAGTGTTTGAGAATAGCAGCAAGATCGTGATCGTCATGGAGTACGCCAGCCGGGGCGACCTGTACGACTACATCAGTGAGCGGCAGCGGCTCAGCGAGCGCGACGCCCGCCATTTCTTCCGGCAGATCGTCTCTGCCGTGCACTACTGCCACCAGGTGAGCCGCTACCTGCCCAGCCCTGTCCTCAGGGCGGTCCCTGGGCTCCCGGGCTGGTTTGAGCCAGAGAGATTCCATGACTCTGGGATAGCACAGGGAGACAAAGCAGAGGCAAGACTCGATTCTGGACTCTCAGCCCAGGGAATGTGGTGTCTGGCTTTGAGTCCCTTGGCCCGGGGTGGAAGGGCCTGTGATTTCTTATACTTTGTACCAATAAAGATGGACATTCCCAGCCTACCTGTGCTCCCCCACCGGTCCCCTTTGTGTTTACCTCCCTTTCCGGACTAGGCCCTCATGCCCTTTCCTCCCTGGTGACCTTCCTCTGACCTTCCTCCCTCCCTCTTTCAGAATGGGGTTGTCCACCGGGACCTCAAGCTGGAGAACATCCTCCTAGATGCCAGTGGGAATATTAAGGTGAGCCCCACTTTTCGTTTCCAGCCGCTCTCCCACTTCTCCCCAGCCTTTCTGCACCGTCCCTGGCCAAGTCTCTCTAAGCCTGTAAGGGGTTCCAGAGGATTCAAGCAAATCCCAGACTTATGTGTTGGTTCCTATCTCATTGTATGTATGGAAAACTGAGACCTCAAGATAAGGGGTGACTTGCACAAGGTCCCATGGCTAGCTAGAGGCTGAGCCTGGGCTAGAACCAAGGTCTTTTGACTCCTCCACCAGTGCTCTTGATGTCACAAAGCTGACAGGAGTCAAGGTCTAGGGTTGGCTTTTGCTCACAACCTTGGGACTGACAGGGAGAGGGCCATGGCCTGAGTTCTTTCCACTTGCGTGTACACACGCACACGTGAACACTTTACTCTGCTTCAATTAGGTAGACCTTTGACACCTTTCCTCAAAGACCAAGATTTCCAGCACCCACTTCCTGCTTCTTGCAGCTGCTGACTTCCCATGCTAAGTAGTTAAATTTAGGTCTGAGAAATGCACGTTGATGAGATAAACTCAGATCTCTGAGCTGGAATGGGGAGTGGGCCAGGCTGGCCCCTGAAGGTGCCCGAGAGGGCTCTGACTGCACTTGGACCCTTCTCAGAATCTTCTTGAATCGAGGACAAAGCCTCTTCCCCAGTGGCCTCCGACCTGTGCCCTGAGGCGCCTTGGCACTGAGTTCATTCCCCTTTCCCAGCCCATTCCCAGAGTAGGTGGGGCTTGCTTTGATGCTATGGGGGTTGGGGGCAGAACCAATAAACCCACATAACTCAGATAGGCAGTAATTCTCCCATCCGCACCAATCATCTGCCTCATTATGGGCTTCAACTGGTAACAGCTTGATAAGAGGCCAATAAAACCATAAACAAAGGAGCCAGAGTTTCATAAACAGCCCCTCCCTGCCCTGGGGACATAAGACCCTCTGCTGGGAGTGAAGAGGTCAGGATCAGGCAAGGTACTAGCCTCAGCCTCTATCTGAGGATAGGCCGGATGGGGTTTCTCTAGGGAGCAAGAAGATGGGCTTGCAGCTTCACAAGGCCTCAGTATCAGGTGGCTCAAGGATTCCTATAATAGATTCCTTCTCCTGGGTTACAACCACAATCATGACCTTTGTTCTGCCTTCATCATTGCTTCTCGTCCATTCTGGGCTGACCCTGTGTTCCCGCCCAGGTGTAGACATAGATGAGCCTTTGCTAGGAGAGGCAGCCTAGCCTTGCGTGATTATTCAGTGCTGGAAAGGCTTGCTTCTGAGGACCATGACACTGGCATCAGATGTTGATTCTTGCCCTCCATCTGCTAGACCTTCCCACTGAGCCCCATGCATGGGTCACACCTGTGCTAGGAACTGCAGGAGGGGTGGGGCAGTAGGAGGTCAGTATGGGGAACATATTGATATAGAGACAGAACTGATGAGTGGGGCTACAGCGAGCCACCGGAAACTGTAGGACTTTGTGGGAGAAAGAGGTCTTAGGGCAATGGAGGGCTTCCCAGAGAAGGTGGGCTTGCCAGATCGAGAGGATGTGCATAGGCAGGAGAACGCACAGCTGGAGCGGAATACAACATGAGTACAGGGGCCTTGGGAACAGTGAGGACCCTGGAGCCCCCACACACCTCTTCCTAGATGCTCTTCATTGACACACCTCTGCAGGGCTCTTTCTTCCAGGGCCTGAGCTGTGTTGGCAGTGCCCAGTGTAGCGGTGGGGGTCATGGGCACCCCTTTCTCTTACTGGGGCCTGGAGAGGGGCAGGCTGAGAGCTACAGAAAACCCAGGCCTTGGCATGACTGTGTGTGACCCATTCCTGCAGATCGCTGACTTTGGCCTCTCCAACCTCTACCACCAAGGCAAGTTCCTGCAGACATTCTGCGGGAGCCCCCTCTACGCCTCACCAGAGATCGTCAATGGGAAGCCCTACACGGGCCCAGAGGTGAGTGTCCGCCCTCCGCTGCCGGCCTGCCTCAGCTGTTTGCCATGACTTTAGCTCCTGTGAGATAGGCGGGCTGGTTTCCTAGTTACTGCCTTTCTCAGAGCATGTAGCTCAGCCTCGCTACCTCCCAGGGTAGTGAAGTGCCGGGTATCTAGCCAAGAGTGGAAAACTAGAACAAGAACTTAAGTCTCCTGACTCTCAGTCTAGTTCTGTGCCCCTCACCTTCCTAGTTCCCATCACCTTCCCCGGCACCCAGCCAGCCACCCACTCCTGGCCCCGCAGGGGTGACCTCGCCACCGCTCTTGTGTTGGCGGCAACCCCTCCCAAAAGGATTGACGACACCTGCCCCCATGAGCCTCAGTCCCTCCCGCAGCGTCACCGCTCTGCTCCTGGGTACCAGAGGAAGGTGGTTCTCAGATGAGCTGGCCTCTGAGTTCTCCGGCGTGTACCCCTTTTTTTCTGATACGGAAGTGAGGCCGGAAGCCCCCCAGCCTGTGGCATGTGGGCATCCTTGCTGATCCCCCCTTCCCTTTCGCAGGTGGACAGCTGGTCCCTGGGTGTTCTCCTCTACATCTTGGTGCATGGCACCATGCCCTTTGACGGGCAGGACCATAAGACGCTGGTGAAACAGATCAGTAACGGAGCCTACCGAGAGCCTCCCAAACCCTCCGGTGAGTGAGGGGTGTTCTCATCCAGGCCTGGCTGTCCTAAGCGAATTTCTGAGGCAGGAGTTAAACAGTGGCAGTCGGGAGAAGAGGACAGTCCACTGTGGATGAGAGTTCCCTCCGGCCACCATCTGCTGTCACGTCTGCCCGCAGTGTCTGTGACCTGAGGATGGAGGGGATATCTTTTCCTTCCCTTGTGGACATACTTGATTATATGTGGAAAGCGCTTCCTAAGACCTGACTTAGAGTCTCTTTGCTATAGTTATCTTACTTCCTACTGCCTTTGTCCTTATCCTTAGAAATCTTTTTGTCCTTTACCTATAAAGTAGAAGGCAAGAAGGGTATGACATCCTTGGTTTACCCTTGCGCATAGTCCACGCCCTCAGAGGTTGCATTTCAGTGGGGAGAAGGAAGATACCCACTAACGTACAACAAAGCTAATGAAGTGGCCGGAGTTGGGATGGAAGAGGAAATTAGCGAAGTCCATGCAGGAAACCTGGGACCTGGCCTGGCTGGAGCATGTGTATAGCCCTAGGTGGGAGTGGACATATCTGACACAGAAGTGAGCAGTGTCTTAGCACAGGCGGGGATAAGCCAGTGAGAGGGGACTGTGGGTTCCCGTTCTCATGGCTGCCAATCTGAAGCTCCTTGCCTTTTGTCTTTCAGATGCCTGTGGCCTGATCCGGTGGCTGTTAATGGTGAACCCCACCCGCCGGGCCACCTTGGAGGATGTGGCCAGTCACTGGTGGGTTAACTGGGGCTATGCCACCTGTGTGGGAGAGCAGGAGGCAGGGCGCCCTGGCAGCGACTCTGGCCGGGCCTCCATGGCTGACTGGCTCCGGCGGTCCTCCCGCCCCCTCCTGGAGAACGGGGCCAAGGTATGCAGCTTCTTCAAGCAGCACACGCCTGGAAGCGGGAACGTGGTCTCCGGCCTGGAGCGCCAGCATTCACTCAAGAAGTCCCGCAAAGAGAATGACATGGCCCAGTCTCTCCAGGGGGACCCGACTGATGACACCTCCACTCGCCCTAGCAAGGGCAACCTCAAGCTACCAAAGGGCATTCTCAAGAAGAAGGCGTCTGCCTCCTCGGAGTGGGCAAGGGAGGACTCTGCTCTCAGCCAAGTTCCTGCGAGCCCGGGACAGCCTGCCCCGCTGCTCCCCAAGAAGGGCATCCTCAAGAAGTCTCGGCAGCGGGAATCTGGCTACTACTCCTCTCCTGAGCCCAGCGAGTCTGGGGAGCTCTTGGATGCAGGGGACGTGTTTATGAGTGAGGACTCCGTGGAGCAGAAGCCCCCGCAGGCCTCAGGGCTGCTGCTCCGTCGCAAGGGCATCCTCAAACACAACGGCAAGTTCTCCCGCACAACGCTGGAACTCGCAGCCCCCACCGCCTTCGGCTCCTTGAATGAACTGGCCTCACCTTGCCCTGCTTCCCGGGCTAGCCGCCCCTCAGGGGCTGTGAGTGAGGACAGCATTCTGTCCTCTGAGTCCTTTGACCAGCTGGACTTGCCCGACTGGCTCCCCGAGCCCCCTCTGCGGGGCTGTGTGTCTGTGGACAACCTCATGGGGCTTGAAGAGCCCCCCGCAGAGGGCCCCCGAAGCAGGGGCCTGAGGCGCTGGCGGCAGGACTCCTTAGGGGAGAGCTGCTTTTCCCTGGGGGACTGCCAGGAGGTAACCGAGGCCTACCGACAGGCACTAGGGATCTGTTCAAAGCTCAGCTGAGGATGAGGGGCATCGCCCCACCTGGGCAGGCTCTCGGATGTGCCCAGAAACACCCTGAGGGGAGACCGCTTTCTCCCCTGCCTCCCAGGACCAGCATCCTCGCCCAGAAGGGTGAGGTGTTTTGCAATTAAGCCCTGGGGTGTGCCAGACGTGGGAAATGAGCAAGTGAAATGTATTGAGGGTTCAGTGTCTCAGCCCTGTCAAACTAAGAAGGTAGTAGAGGGGAAAAGAGTAGAGAAGTAGAGGGGAAAGCCCATGGCCAAGTCCGGGTTTTCTGTTTCGGGTACACGTGGTAGGACCACAGAAACCTGGAAAGAGCACTCGTATCAGTACCCGTCTCCCTCATTGCGATGAGTACGTTCTGTGCACGGTGCCTTCCTGCCAAGAGAGGGATGGAAACTCTTCTCATACACATTCCCATCCCCGCCAGGCACCGAAACTGGAATGTGGAACCACCTCATGTGCCCAGGGCATCCTGGGAACGCGCTCCTAGAATGTGTCCCTTATTTCTCCCAGCAGTAAGAGAACACAACCTCTGTTTCTTCAAAGGTTCCCTCTCCTTTCCCATCCTCCAAACCTGGCCCAAGCCTCCTGGAGTTGCTGCTATGAATCTAAAAGACTTGAAAAGGCTCAGGCTGCTATTGGACTTCATCTCAAGGGGCCCAGACCCCCACCTTGAACCTCAAAGACTCTGAACTTCTCTGGCCTCCAAGCTGCTCCTGCTACTGAGAATGGGTGTGTCCATTTCTCTGGGCTTTTGGGACCCTAAAATGTCCTATTTATGTTTTCAGCTCTGTGTTTTTAAAAAAGTGAATCTCACTGTTTTCAATAATGTGAATACTATGTTCTGGAAAGTCAACTATGATATCTAACTTTTGTATACAGAGATATTTTTGCAATGATTCCCCACTGATCATGGGGGAGGGGGACCTTTTATGAATCCACATGTCCTGTTGCACTATTCAGAGGGGGTCTCTGGCTCCCTCATCCACTCCCTGACTCTGTCTACCTGATGGTCCATCTTCCTTTCTCTGTGACCAGAAAGAACCACCCCATTAAAAACCAGAACAGTGATTGAAAATAGCGTCTGTTGTTCTGTTTGAGGAGGTGGGGCGCAGGTCTTTGAGGCTTCTCTTAACACCTCCAGGAGGTGGGAAATAGAGAACCTGCTTAACAAAAACAAAACACAACAACAAAAAACCCAGCTCTTAGCTCCGAAAGGCTCCCCATTTTACCTTCGTCAGCAATTCTGCCCTCTTTAGCACAGAGGTGGGAGAGCCCTGGGCTGGGGGTCCCAGTTTGCTTTTCCAGCCTTTGGCGCTAAAGGAAGAACTGGGCTCGGCAGTTTATACAGCCCCGCCCCCAACCTTCTATCCATCTTCTCCCACCCATCCCCCATTCAGCTCTGTCCCCTGCTGCTTGAAGACACCCCCACCGCCTTTATTCTCTCCCTCCAAAGAAATTCCCTTTCCTCAGTGCTGGGCAGCTGCTCTGGCTCCGCCCTCAACGCCTGACCCCTAGAGAAATAAAGAATGCTTGGAATGCCCCCCCTTGAAGGCCATCCTCAACCCCCAGCAGAACATTCCCCACCCGCTGGCCTGCTCCTTTGAGAAACTGCACTCCTAGGGCTGGGATTAAAGGGAGAGTAAGGACAAAGTGCAGGCAAGCGGCTGGCTGGCTGGCTCTGGCTTCAAGCAGACTCCTCCCCAATGCCCAACCCGGGGGGTCGAGTTGCAAGAGCAAACAAAGTGCTCAGGCTACAACTGGGGTATTTCGGTCTGATATTTTGGGGGTCCCACTGAGCGCTGGAGCTCTGGCTAGACTGTATGGACCCCGGGAAAATACAAGGGAGGGTCTTTACCCTCAAGAAGCGTAGCGGTCAGCTGTGGAATTGGCTAGTCCTATTCAACTCAGGAATCCAGCTCTATTGTGAGCCGAGCTCTGTGTAAGACAGAGATAATTGCTATGTCTGGTGCAACACAGAAGATCTTAGCCTCAAGGAGGCTGCAGACTGGATGGCAATGTATCGTGCATAAAAATAAGTAAAATTCAACAGAGAAACTGTCATCAGTTCAGATAATGTTGAAGTATGGATGATGAAATAGAAGAATTGCAACTTAGGAGATAAGAATAAAGGCTGCCATTAATTAAGTGCTTATGTATCAAGCACTTTATGTGCGTTACCTCATTTAATGCTCGTAATAGCCTTATTAGTTTGGTACAATTTTTATCATTCTCGTTACAGAAGAAATTCAGACTCGAAAACATTGCATAACTTGCTTAGCTAGCCAGGGAAAACCAGATCTCAAATCCAGGTTTGTGGGATGCCAAATCCTAGCAGGGTGGGTTGGGGGCTCATTTAAACTGGATTAGGTTGGAGAGTTGGGAGAAAGAATATCCGTGAATGGAACTACAAATATTTATTGAGCATCTATTACATTCCAGGTTCTTTTCGAGGCACAAGAAAATAGCAACTTCTTCTGCAAAAAACTGCTTTCCCCTCATCTCTACAAGCCCCAAAGAAAGCTGAGGAAAGGAGGGTGAGTGGGAGCAGGGAGAGGCTGAAGCGGGTGGACAGGAGGGGAGAAGGGAAGCTTCGGTTAAGAGCAGGGAGCAGAGGGCGGCCACAGCCACCGCTGCCTTGTCCCACCAGCACCATCGCAGCCGGCGGGAGAAATTGGCATTTTAGCGAAGGAAGGAAAAGGAGCTCAAAAGGCGTTCGGTCCTGAGATCCATCCCTGTCCTCTTAGTGGTCTGTTAGCTTAAACTTTTATTAGCTAGGGGCCGGGAGGGGCATGCAGACAGAGGGGCGATGTGGGGGGACCCTGCTAAGAAAGGCGAATCTGGGTGGGAAGAGAATATCTATTACCCCAGCCCTAAAGAGACCTAGACTCCCCTGAGGGTTCCGCTCTGCGTGGCCCTTCCCCTCACCTGCCATGATGCTTCATACCAGAAACATTCCAGAAGCAGGCTGGAGAGATGACGCTGGGCCTGGGGGAAGAATGCTGGAGCCCCAGGAATATTTAGTGCCACATGAGCGCTTCTGGAATGTGAATAACCAGACCAAGACCAGGGCCATCTTGGGAAGACAGGAAACGGCCTTTGGAAACGAAGACAAGAAACATCTTGGTCAGAACCTCTCCAGTCCTCAGCCATCTCCTGGACAAGTCCACCCAGGCTGTCCCTGAGTGGAAGCCCCCTCGCTGGGTAGAACTGAGGCTCCTCTGTTGAGAAAAGGAAACCCCCATGTCATGTTGGCCTGTCCCCACACCAGGACGACCCCTTCACTTCTTCCTGGCCCCATCCAGCCAGGCTGCCTCAGGCCCTCCTAGCGGGCTCAAGTGAAGGGGAAAGGGCGATTCAGATGTGTGGGGAGCAGCAGTCCCCTGCAAGCCGCAATGCCCACACCCTGTTAGCGCTATGGGTCAGCTCAGCGAGTCAGAATCTGAAGACTGACTGGCAGCTGGAGCATTTCTTGAGGACTGAAAACCTGATGGACCCAGGACGAGGGATTAGCTGAAGAGCCTAGGCATTTTTAAGCAGAAGAGGAGACTGGGGCGGTGGCGGGGGACCACATAACATATGATGGGGTGATCTTCTGAAAGAGGAAATAGAGCAGGACCAAGACCAATGGATGGGTGGGGGCTACTGAGATCCAGGATTCAGCTTATAAGGCAGTCACCTACATAATGTGTTTATCCATTCCTTCGGTAAGTATTTACCAAGCACCTACGGTATACACTAGGCTCTGGGGTTACATTCGTGAACAAAACTGACACACATCTCCACTCTCACAAGGCTTCCATTCTAGCGAAGGAAGATGGACAAAGCAATAGGTATAATAAATAAGTAAATTAGATAGTATGTCAACGGGTCATAAATATTAGGAGACCTGGGATGGGGTATTGGGGTGGAGGGGACAGGAAATACAAAGACCTTCGGGTAGAAGCAGATCAGGCAAGCTCTAGAACAGTCCGTGAGGCTGAAGCAGAGGGTGCAAAGGAGGGAATAGCAGAGATAGAATCAAGAGAGGTAAGGGGTGGCACGCTCACACACGCACACCTGGCCTGTGAGCTGTTACACGGGCTATGCCTTTTATTCTGAGTGAAGTGGCTTTTGATTGAAAAAAAATTTTTCTCTAGCAGCTTATTGAGAAGAGCTGGGGAGAAGGGAGGTCAACGCAGTGATTTTTGGCCTGAAGGACTTGAAGGATAGAGTGCCCATTAGCTGAAATGGGGAGAGATTGCAGGCAGAGTGGGAAGCTGGGAGTACTGAGGCCTTGGGTACCGATGAGAGGTATTCTGTAGTCTGGGGAAGTGACGGGAGTTGGAGATACTGAGGAGTTGTTGCTAAAAGGAATTTGCTTTGGGTGGCAAGGCAGACGAGGTGATCTCTGAAGTTTCTGAGTTGTAGCATCTAGGAATGTGAAAAGCAGTCATTTCCTTAGCGGATTAGTTGCTTGTGAAAGCGTGATAGTGGCGAAGGTGGGCGGTGCTGAGCTGGGGTGGCAGATTTGCCTGGTTGGGATTGGTCTCCTCCTCCTAAGACCAGGAAGTGCTCTCTTAGGGAAGGAAGAAAGTATTGTTGAACCTTCCTGAGATTCGGTTTCCCCATCGGTATGGGCGGGGTGGGGGGGCGGGGAGGGAAGGGGGGCTGTAGGTGCTAAAAGACTTCTCAAGACCCTCCACTCCGAAACTTCATGACTGAACATCTTTAAAGGCTTTCACAGATTTTATAAGAACATTAGAAATGTCACGCTTGGGCCAGGGCTCTGCCTCTGACGATGGCAGAGGGTCTGGGAGTTGTCTCATACAGCTGAGGTCCCCAGAGGATGAGCTGGCTCTCCAAATCCCGGTCCTCTTCCTGTGTCTCAGAACTCCCTGCCTCAGCTCCCTGGGGAGCTAGAGTGCTCTCGGGAATCTGCATTTTAAGAAACTTGGCAAGTGGCCCTGATCACACTGACCTTTAAGAACTTACTCAGGTGAGGGCCTTTAACCCTAACTTACCACTAAGGAGCTGCTGCCCTTAAAGGAATTTCAGGCCACCAGCCAGGCAGTTTCGCTCTGGGATACAGATCCTTCTCTCTCTCTCTGTCTCTCTCTCAGTACAGATCTTTTATCTTTCTCTCTCTAGATAAAAATCTTTCATCTCCCTCTCTCTCTGTCTGGATACGGATCTTTTATCTCTCCTTCTCTTTCTCTCTCTCTCTCTCTCATTTTACCTCTTTTGGCTCCAGAGCCCTGCCTCAAAAGGGATTCCCCATGCTTATCAGTTGTCTCTTTCTCCAGCCTCCAACCCTCTCCCAGAGCTAATCCCACCTTCTCAATTCCGCCCTGTCTTCTCTGGGGAAGGGTGGGGGGCTGTTAGGTCATGCTGGGGAATGAGTCATCCTAGGGTGGGGGAGGGGCTTCAAGTCCATAAATGGGCAAAAACTCAGATTTCAGGTTTCAGTCTCTTGGAAAAGGCCAGTCTCTCCCCTCTGTCCCCTCAGTCAAAGGAATTCCCCAGAGGAAAGGAAGGCGGTGGGACTAGCTTTGACCACTGGAATTCTAAAAACAGCAGAGCTTTTTAGGAGATAAGGTCAGTCTGACTCAGCTTCCGTGATAAACAGACACTGCCTGCTAGGATTTTCCCAGCCTAAGAGGCCAAAACCCCATTTCCGCATGGAAGTGTGGGGCTCTGCCTTTCAAGTTGGGGGCCCGCCAGCACCACCTCCTCCCTTCTCTGCACCACTTTCTCCTCACGATGAGAATGCCAGCTCCAGGCTGCACTGACCTGGGCTCTGGACTGTGGGGCACTCATCGACACGGCAGGACGGACCTCGTGCCCCACCTGGAAGCTGAGGACAGGGCGTGATGACTTTTCACAGCCTCCCTAGCTGGACTGTGAATCTCCTGGCCTGGCCTGCAGAGTCTCTGTCTTCCTAATCCCTGACCCTGATCATTGTCGTGTCCAGCAGGCAGGTCCCTGGCTGGTAGCAGCAGGCCAGCCACTGGCATGGATCCTGCCTCTGCTAAAGAACCTGCAAGCCCAGGTCCCACTTCTCTGTAAATGGAAAAGCCATTGGAAATGCCAGGTGGTACCTGGGGAGAGCAGAGAAGCCCTTTGACAGAGCCTCGTATGGTGGCCAGATTTCCCATGAGATCTTTTCACAATTCAGAGTCCAGGCCTCACTTTGCCGCTCAGAAACTTTACTTCCCACAGGCTTAGGAGACTCCAGGGCAGAGTCACGGAGCTCCAGGAGGTGAACTGATACAGTCGGAATGCCCATTCATTGATTTATTATGAAAAACATAACTGCTGTCAAACCAACCAGAGACTTGGGTTTGCTAATGAGCTTGTTCACTGTTGGCAATTGCATACACGGGCAAGCTCAAGTTCAGTGGGAAGGTTACTCAGAGCGTGCAAGCTGGGCAAGGAGAGCTAGCTCAATGGTCTTCATGGCGTGCCAGGCTCTCCTCTGCCAGAATGCACCAGGTAGCTGAGTTCAGGACACACTCCCCCGGCACAGCTCTGGAGAGCACCCCACACGCATAACTGGTGCCACAGAGACAACCTCCCTGGCTTATTCAGCACATTCTTTGAGTAGAGCAATTACTTAGAGGGTCACTTTCACAGTCCGCTCACACCAGTCATGTTGCTGCAGGGATTAAATGAGATGACGCGTGAACATGCTTTGTAAGCAATGCATCACCAAAGAAAACCTAAGGAATGAGAGTAGGTGCTGGATAAATGTTTAGTGAAGGGCCTCCACCTGCCTTCCCGGCCCCAGCCCCATATAAAAGGGAATCTGATAGTTAAATCAATGAAAACCCTTCCCCTAATAAACTGTCAACATGTACTGAGACCTTACTGTTATTCCAGGTACCATGAAAAATACAGAAGCAATAAAATATGGTCCCCTCCCTCAAGATATTTATATATGATAAAGTCAAAGCTATGAACTAACACCTACAGGATGACTGTAAACAGCACAGAGTTGAGTGTACTAGAGGGTCTGATACAGAGAATGTGTGAGACGCTCAAGTCCCATTGGGCTGGGTTGTAATGGGACCTCTGGTATAAAGGTGGGATAGACCACTGGCAGTTTTGGGTCCCCACTCTTTGGTCACTGCATTGGTCAGTAAAGGGATATGACTGCCTGACTGGGGGTTCTAGGCGTCTAGGCCCTGAAACAGGGTCTCACTTTAGGCCACTCACCTGAAATGCGGGGGTCCAGCTGTCCTTCCTCATAGCCAATGTCAGACTTGCTCCCATCGTGGGAAATGATAGCAAGCATCAGAATGAGCAGATACACACTAGGTAGGAATGAAGGATGGAGTTGGTCAGCTTTCTCTATTGTCAGCCATGGTTGGGAGGGTGGGGGGACAACAAGCGACTGGCTTGCTGACCCTATTCCCAAGGAGCTAGAGCTTCCACCAGGCTTATTTATTCTTTTCTCCCTGCCTGGAGGGGCGTGCCTTCTTCAGATGCCCCATAAAACCTCAAGATGAGGCAGAGTTTGGTCCACTTCACAACCTGTGAAGTGGTCCACTTCACAACCTGTGAAGTGGTCCACTTCACACCCAGACCCCTTGGGTCAGAGTCTTTAGAAACCCATTTTTCCATCCCTACAAAGGTGCTCGACAAGATCCAGCCTCCCACTCCTACTAATCTCAGTTAAGAATGAGCTTAGAATCACAATAAATTATGTGTGCGACGTCATACCATCCCCACCCCGAGTTAATTTAAGAGGCAGAGGAGCTCATGCCGAAGTCTCTGGCGCTGTGCTAGAGCATTGGTTCTCAAAGTGTGGTCCAGGGACACCCCACCCTGGGGTTTCCCAAATCTTTTCAGAGGCTATACAGGTCAAAACTGTTTTACTAACAATGTGAAAACATCATTTGCCTTTTTCATTTTCATTCTCTCATGAGTGTATGGTAGAATTTTCCGGGGGCTTCATGGTGTGTGAAATTGCAATAGATTGAATGCTAAAGGAGATATAAGAATCCAACAATGCGAATATACTTAACACTATTGAATTGTACACTTAAAAATGGTTACAGTGGTAGACCTTATGTCAATGTATTTTTATCACAGTTTAAAATTTAAAAAAATTTTTTGAAAGAATCTAGCTCTCTTTCATTAAGCCATTCTTAAAGACATTTGCAAAAAAATATAGAACAATGCCACTCTTCTCATTAATTATTTTTGTTTTGGGAAATCTAATTCTTTTTCACTAAAATGTTTTGTTTATATAAACATAGAACGAGTTATTATTGTTACTTTTTAAAAACCGTTACTTTGAAGTGAATGAATAATTTTTTAAATTTGTTTTAATTTCTAACATGCCAACCATCAACTCGCCCGCATGAAAGCTCTTTGAGTGTCCACACTAATTTTTAAGAGTGTCAAGGGATCCTGAGACCAAAACATCTGAAAATTGCTGCTCTGGTGAGAGGAAATACAGCAGGTAGAGTTGCCAGATAAAATACAGGATAGTCATTTAAATGTGAGTTTCAGATAAAGAATGAATAACTTTTAGTGTAACAGTGTAGGACATGCTGAGCTAAAAAATTGTCGTTTATCAGAAATTCAAATTTAAATGGGTGTTCCGAATTGTTATTACTAGATCTGGCAACCGTGAGAGCAGGAAAGATGTAGCTGAGATTGAGGAACTTGCGTAAGACCTCGGGGTTCTGACCCAAGAAAGGATGGAGAACTCCCTGTCTCGGACAGCCTTAAGAAAAGTGAGTCTGAGGACCTCCAGGACAGGCCCTAAGTGCGTGGGGCTCCAGGTTACAGCTGGGGGAGCAAACCTCTTCCCTGACCTGGGCCCGAGAGTCACTCACCCTCCAAGAAACCCAGACAGCCAGAGATGAGCAAAAGAAGAGGAAAATGAAACACGTCATCCTCGGTGTTGTTGTTATTAAAAGGTGGAAGTGATACCAGTGGGTGAAGGGTGGAGGCAGGGGAGGATGTCAAAAACTCGAGGTTCTGCTAAAAATAGTTGTGGTTGGGGGGGCTGTCAGGAGGCGGGGGGTGAATCAAGTCATCTGGGTGGGGCTGCGCAAATCCATAGCTTGGCGGGGGAGGTCAGGCCTTCTACAGGCCAGGTGGCAGAAAATCTAAGAAGCACAGTTGGGGCTGGAAATAAATAGTGACAAAGAACTGGCCTCAGGAGCCGCCTATAGGAGAAGGGCCATCCCCCTTCCATCAGCGCGGGAAGCTCTAAGAATCTCTTTCCATTAAGAGAAGCAGGGTGGCCCAGGAATAAGACTGGCAGGGAGGCCGCAGTGCATGCTTATTTCTTTAACATGTATTGAACACCTACTGTGTATTAGACATTGTACCTGGGGATCCTGAGTTGAGTAAAATGCGGTTCCTGCTCTCCAGAGCCTGGAAGTCCAGTGGAAAAGAAAGATGCGCAAAAGCAATATGAATTCATGAATTTATTGTGATAAGAGTGAATAATTGAAGGCCCGAGCAGCAACCCACCGACTGCACACCTGAGCCCCTCCCTCAGTGACTCCCCAGCCCTGGCTCAGGCTGCAAACCAACAGAGGACGGAGGACGCAAAATCACCCAGCTGCCCACAGAGCAACATTCCAAGCTCCAGAGCTCTTTTCCGCCCATTTTTTGCCAACTGTTTAGAACAAAGAGAAATAATCAGATTGGGAGAAAGTCAAAAAGGACAGTTTCCTGAAACTTCTCCCTCACCTGTCAGAGCCTGGGAAAAGCTGTTAGATGCTTCTTCGGAGGGTTTCTAAAGGCCACTATTGACTTCTAGTGAAGGAGAGGCAGTGAGGGAGGCTAGGTGTCTTTCACCATGGTTTTGGACCCGGCTTGAAGTCACTGAACAAGTGAGGCAAAGACAGTCCATCATTTCTAGTGTCTGGAGCTTACCGAACAAACATGGGTTGAGCCCCTCTTGCCAGAGGCCAGGGTGAGATATTGGGTCCAGAGCTGCAGCCTGCTAAGGACACACAGGAGTCAGATAATAACCGGACAGTGCCTGCGTGGGGTCTGAACACAGGCCCTGTGGAGGGAGCAAGGCCCCTCGGCTGCAGGGCACTGGAGGAAAGCTTCATGGGGAAGTGGGCTGGGCCTTGTAGGCTAAGAACTTTTCTGGGTCAAGTAGAGGGGTTTTAGGAAACCAGAATTTCTTGGAAACTTAAACACTGACTTCAGATAGTCAAGTCTGGTGGCCGTATGTAAACCTCATACTCCCAGATACACTCTGTATCCTGACTTCTGCCCCCTCTCCAGCCATATTTTATTCTGGGCTTATGCTGCTGCCAAGAGAGGCGTCTGCACTCTTGGGAGAGGAAGGAGCCAAGGGTTTTTTCTCTGTCCCCTGGGTTCCTGGGGTTCAGGCACTAGGCCTGGTTTCTGACCTTATTCCTCCTCTCCCACAAAGCACAGCCTGACAGCCTGGCCCTTCTCTGCCTTGGCCAAGAGGGAGGCTGCCAGAACCACAGCTCACCACAGAGGCCAGGCTGGACGTACCTCTGTGGAGCAGCAGCAGGACCAGTCTCCCCAGTGGCTGAGCGCAGCCAATTCCCCACTGTAACTTCCCTACCGGCGAGCAGATGGTGTTGGGTTTCTCTGAGACCCCATGTGGGTAGGAGAGTCTGGTGTGACTCTGCCTAAACTGGCTGTGTGACCTTGGGCAAGTCACTGTACCTGTCTGGACCTTGACCTCCTATCTGTTCAATTATAATCCATATCCTAGGGTCTGTCTTAGGCGACGTAGCCAAACATGCTTTGCAAGCTGTCAAGCACAGCACTGGTCTGAGAGGTTGTTACTTTGACTTTGCCTTGGGTCCCACAGTTTGAACAGGGAGGCTGTCTCAGAATTTATTTTTCAGGCATCGGTTTCCAGATGGGGATTCCTAACCTAGGGTCCAGAAGGGTCTACAGGAAGTCCTGGAGTCATTTGCAGAACTTTTGAGCAGGTGCATTTTTCTGAGAAGAAAATGGAGTTTTTCATCAGATCCTCAAGGTACTTCATGCGTGAAAACCTGCTAAGAGACACTGCCTGAGCCTTGGGGCTCCTCCCATGTGCAGTCATCTGCCAGGGTATTCCGAATCCTCGGAGCAGCAGTCACACAGGCTGGGGTGACCCATGTCTACCAATTCGACATGGATGTTCAACAGCACCACGCCAAGGACATGCTCCCTGGCCCCAAGTTCCCTGCAGGCCAGCGACACAAGAGCTCATGACATCTGCATCGTGCCAGAGTCTAGGACATGATATTTCGGTACCACTCTCCATGCTGGCCTGGCACTGGCCGGAACACCGTGCCCTGTTCTAGACAGCACGTTACCAGAACGTGGATAAACTGAAATGTTTCCAGACATAGGCCAGCTGTCAAAAGTTTTTGAAACCAGTCTCAGGAGGAACGATTGGAAAAACAGAGAGTCTTCGGGTTGGAGCAAAGAATTATAGAGCAGACGCGGACTGGGAGTGGACATTAAATTCTTGAAGTGCTGCCTAGTGCCTTCTGCAGGGAGGCAGATAGTGACTCAGCGAAGGGAAATACTTCCTGGCAGTGAGCTCTGTCCCGCATGGAGCGAATGGACTGAGGCTCCCCAGTACCCCACATAGTTGGTCTTTTGAGGCAGGGTATAAGCTTTATCCTGGAAGGAGATGAAGAAGTGATAACGACAACTCCTCCCTTGAGACTCAGTGAGTGGATGTTGCCTTGCGAAGGGGAAAGGGAGCAGGACAGGGAATTGCAGGTCTTGTCTGGGCCCCTGTGGCCTCTGCTTTCATGAAGGCATCTGCTCTGACCGCCCGGATCTGCTGCAACCAAACCCCGCCACCCATGGCCCCTGATTGATGATGCACAGAGCAGGGAGCCAGGCTGGGTGCTGAGAGAGGAAGCTGGTGGTAAGGAGGGCTCCAGCCCCCTTGGGAGACAAGCCGGGCTGTCTTGGGCCAGTCAGAGGCGGTAGAGATGGGAAGATGGCTCATTGATGAGTCACCATGGCCATTGTCTGCTCCTGCTCCCTCTGGGGGAGGGCAGCTGCGGGAGACAAGGCCTCTGGCCACTTGGGCCTGTGAGGACAGGCTCCCCACTCCTGTTTGCACAGATCTGAGGGCAGTTGGGGTTTGGCTGTCTGGCGCTCCTCATCCACCCAGCAAGGCAGGGCTGGTAAGCTGGCATCGGATGGATGGTGAGGGGGAGGGTGTCTGACTCTGCTCATTCCTTGCTAAGAGCCCAGAGGCCTGGCCTGTGGGAGGAGCTGCCCTGCCCTGTCTGGCACAGCAGGAGAAGCTGGCAGGCGTGCCCCCTCTCTAGGGATCACACCTGGGCCTGAGCGGCACAGCCTCCCCACCACACCCTTCCTAAACCTTCTTCCGGCCCTGCTCTCACCTAGCAGGCCTGTCAAGCACCCGGCCCTATTTCAGGGGCCCAGGGGAGCCTGGGAGAATAGGGGTAACTCGGGGTCAATGACCCCCTGCCCCTCAGCGGGGCTTGTCTGGTCTGAGGGGCGGGGCCACCCTCGTGCCCCAAGTCAAGCCTAAGTCTGGGTTCTTGATGCCTCCTGGGGTTGGAGGTCAGAGAAGCTCAGAATGATAGGCTGTCAGGGTTGTTACACATGTGGGGAAACTGAGGCCCACAGAGAGCAGACACATGCAGCAGGGGTGCCCAATCCGTAGTGGGCAGCTGGGGAGGGAGGGCCTACGGCAGGGGGCTGTTGCCCTCCCAGGTCCCTGCCAGCCTCCGACTCGGGACAAGGCTGAAGGTGGGGCCACCTTACATGCCTGCTGCTGCCTCCCTTGCTTCTTCCTTTCTCAGGGAACCCGAATGAAGGTCTCCTGGAGCTTGGGGGCAAGGTTGAGAAAGGGGTCACCCTGTGAGGGCAGCAGCATGGCCTTCAGAGACACGGGACAGAGCCCCGGTTCTTGCCACCTTCTACCGGTGGAATCTAGAGAGGTGCCTAGAGCTCTCTGAGCCTGTTTTCTCATCTGTAAAATGACAATAACCATCTCCATGTGCAAAATATTTTATACCTATTATCTCATTTAATTCTCACAGCAAAACCTTGAGTTCTTCTGATGAGAAAACAGAGACCTAGTGAGGTTAAATACCCGTGGCTGTCTGACTTAAGACCCCTGCTCCTGACCACTCTGCCATCGGCTCCGCCCCCGGGGTTAGCAGCTGAGTGAGAGGAAAGGACACAGTGCCCTTGCCCTGGGCCTGATGCGGAGGAGGGAAAAGGGCTGTGTGCAGGGAAGGGAGAGAGGGGCTTCTGGGCAGAGGGTGCTAAAGAGGGTCCAAAGCAGAGGCCCCTGAGAGGGCTGCTAAGTTTAGGGACCCACCCTCAGGACCTTCAGCTGCCCAAGGCCCTGGTGGAAGGGGAGGGACTGGACGTCTTGAAGGCAGTTGAAGGCAAAGACAGTAAAATGGAGATTCTGTGGTTAAAGTGGCTGCTTGGCTGAGGGAGACCCAGACTCAGGGCAAATATTCACCAAACCGCTGACAGTGCATCCTGAGGGATGGCACGTTGACTCTTTACGCCCTTATATTGTCTGCATTTTTTTATAGTGTGCATTTTTTAAATGTTCTTTTATTATTTATTTATTTATTATTGTTATTCGTGCCTACAGCACTTGGTCTTCCTAGGTGGTCTCCCATCCAACTACTAACCAGGCCCGACCCTGCTTAGCTTCCAAGATCAGATGGGACTGGGCTTGTCCAGGGTCCCATGGCCATAGACCATGACTCCACTGGTGCACGAACCCAGGACCTTCTGTGTGTAAAGCAGACGTGCAAACCACTACACTACACTACACTACACTATGGAACCATGTCCTTGAATTTTATGTCGATTGCTAATGGAGATGGGGGAGGAACCACCTGTGATTTGAGTTCCCTTGTTAAATTTTCTACAACAAACGTATTAAAAATACTCAGAAAAATAGTTTTTAAATGAGATTGCACATGTAATATATCTAGAGCAGCACTATCCAAACAGCAACTTCCGCCATGATGCCATTGATGCCATCCAATACGGTGACATCAACCATATGTGGCTAGTCCAAGTAAGAAAATAAATTTTTAATTTTAATTTGGACTAATTTAAATTTAATTTTAGATAGCCTGGACTTGCAACGGTCTAATAAGACAGACTGTGAATGATGACTCTCGGTCTTAGGATGAGCTTCCTGCCCTGTCACCATCTGAGCCTATCCTGACAGGTGCTTTCCCCACACCTTCTCTCTCCTGCCTGGCTTCACGGCTTGCTCTGCTCACAGTGGAGTCAGGGTCCTCCCTGCCTTCCCACACACCCCTTCTCCACCTGACTTCTCCTACCATGTTCAGAGCACAGGGGCTCCTTGGTCACCCCCCAGGGGTGTGTGTCGTGGTGGGGATACCTCCTACAGCACCACCTCATCGCGGTGAACTTGGGCAACTCATCTCCCTTTTCTGGGCCTCAGTTTCCTCATCTGTCTAATGGGAGTATTGGCCAAAGATTCCATAAAGGCCCCACAGCCCTTCACCTAGCTGCTGAGGTCCCAGGGAGGGACCACTGGACATGGCCAGGTGTCTCAGGCACTGCTGGGCTAGAGAGAGGTGCATGAGGGAGCAAAAAGCACTTTCTGCTGGAACCCTAATGAGGCAGCAGGATGGGTGAGAAATGCATGACAAGGGATGCGTCACAGAGCAGAAGGACTTTGCCCATCCAGCTGCCCTCTGGCAATTGGTCGCTCTTAGGTCATAACTCCATTTTAGCATTTACTAAACTGCATTGTCATTTACCTGTGTTTTTATCTCTGTCTGTCAGGATAGATTTCAGGTGTTCAAAGAGAAAGGGTTTGTGTAGCGTAGCTCAGCATCCTCCATGTCTTACATAAAGTGAATGTTCAATGGCTTTGGCGAATGGGTGGCTGAATAGTTCTTTTGGACCCCCCTAACCTTTCCCCTCTGGGGTTGGTGTTAGGTTCTGTGGTTTAAAGGACCCAGGCTTGGGGGGAAAAGTAGAAAGTCAATGAAATTTTTGCAAGTGTTGTCTTCCCTTTCTGCCTCTTTAAAAAGTGTTTTCTCCTCACCCCCATGAACACTAATCTTCTCTTTCTCTGGCAGAGTAGAGAAAGAGATATGGGATAAACTAATTCATACTAAGATGTGAATGGCTCAAGGTTTACCCAATCTGCACTTGTACATGAAGAAGCAATGTTAACCGAACTGCGGGTGTCAGGCTTCCACGATGGACACTGGCGTTGTCAACAAGCCTGGGTTTGTCCTGGGCTTGCCATTCACCAGCTTTGTCCAAAAGTAAGTTCCCCTCATCTTTCTGAGACTCTGTTTGCTCACCATAGTGAAGGGTCAAATGATACCTTTCTAGCCACCCTGTAGGGTTGGGGTGAAGATTAAATGAACTAGTGCACACAAAAAGCATTCGTTAGCTGAAAGGTCCTGGAAAGAGAAAGGGACTGATATTGTCATGACTTCGGCCCAGAGCGAGGCCTTCCCACACCCTCGGATCATCCCTGAGCAGAAGATGGCTTTGTGCGGAAGCCTCCTCCTTTTTAACCTTCCAGCTGCCAAGCAGAAAAGACAACCCGGGTGTCTCTTTCATCTCTAGCCTCGCCCCTGGGGGAAGGTGAGAGGGCGAGCAACCTCCTGGCTCACTCACCTCAGACGCTTGGGCTCCGCCCCCCAGCCGGGGCGTGCAGCAGCGGGGCCCCTGCTGTGGTTAGAACACGGGTCCCAGGCCGGTCCTCTGTCGGCAGCGCTGCTCACAGGCCTCACCACAACGCTGGGAGCTGCATGCAGAGACATCTTCTCGGACCTTTCCAGAGACTCGCTAGCCTTGTCAGTCTCTCCATCTTAATTCTCCATTCGTGTGTGTGTGTGTGTGGGGGGGGAGAGAGAGAGAGAGAGAGAGAGAGAGAGAGAGAGAGAGAGACTGAGGTCCCGAGGGAATACACGGCCTGTTCAGTGTCTCGCAGCACGTGGAGCGTTAGCCAACGCTTTTCCTTTCGCTTTTCTCCCAAAGTTCCCCTCACCTTCCCTTTTGCTCCAAGCACAAACGACCCCTCTGAAGCGCCCAAGGTCCAGAAGTCTTGGGGCAGAGGTCTCCTTCCCTCTCTGAAAGATGTCTTCATTCCAGCTTCTCATTGAAGTAGACTCGGAAGCCCCTTCCCCTAGATGACCACATGTTCTCTCAGTCTCACCTTAGCTGATGCCTTGGACGCCATCCGCAAACCCAGACCTGACCAAAATCATTCCCGACAAAGGGACATTCTCTGTCCTTGCCTCTGAGCCACCCTCAAGTGCCTCTGAGCTACGCCCCCTCCCCAGTGCGCTGAGCCACCCCCCAAAGCTCCTCATCGGAATAAAGTTCTCCCTCCCCGACTTCCCACCTCAGCCTATCGCAGTGTGTATCTCTGCTTGCATCTGTATGAGGTGCGCGTGCGCGTGCGCGTGCGCGTTCACCCACTGCCCTGCAAGCTCCCTGAGGACCACGGACCGTGTCTTGCTTTTCTCTGTGTCCCCAGTGCCTGGCACAGAGCAAGTGCTCCAAACCATGTTTCTAGCATTTATTTGAACCTAAGGCTGGGTCGTTTGGAGGTAGTACCCCTGGACTCCAGGCTGCCAACTCCGATGAGAACACTAAAATCAGGAGAGGAGGGAACAGAAAGGAAGGAACGGGACCCATCCTCAGCCCCTTCTTCCTCAGCAGCCACGTTGCCATCTCAGGGCTTCCCATCCTTGGCCTGGCCTGGCCCCACCTGGCCGAGAAGACGAGGGGGAGAAGAGCAACCAGAGACACATAACAGGTCTGTGTTCATGACTTGTCTCTTGCACGAGGTCAGTTAATGCCCAATTTCATGGGAAATCCCCTCCACTAGAAAAAGAACAAGGGGACTGAGCTCCGGGTGGAAGGAGGTGGTTTCTTACCTGGAGCTGGACACCCAGGGAGTGACCCTGAGAGAACTCAGCCTTCTGTAGGAGATCAGAGAACAGAGCCCAGAGATTCGCATCTTCTGAAAGTGTTTACTTTAGTTTTATTCCCTGTGAGCTGAAATTGCAAGACAACCAAAGTAAGGCAATGAAAGAACCTTTAGGTGGGAGGTTGAGTAGCAGCGGAGCTTGTGGAATCTCCTCTGGGTGCTTTTGGAAGTAGATTCATCTTGGTGGGTGGCCGCCTGGAAGCAGGAACATGGCAGAGGTAGCCTGTCCAGCTCCACGGGGCCCAGGACACTTCATCTAGGCAGTTGGCCAAAGGCAGGAATCTGCTGCTGGGGAGGGAGAGCTCTCCCGGAGGACCCAAGTGTGAGAGACAGCGGTCTGGACCACCCTTCTGGCTGGCTGGGTGACTCAGGTCCTGCCGGTGGGTCTGGATGTGCAGGGGCAAGTCCCAGCCTTTCCTTCCTCCTCACTGCCATCCTAGCATGCCTGGCGAGGCCAAGCTCCCTCCTTCCATCTCCGTCTGAAGGTTGGCTGTAAACTTTCAGGCCAAGAACAGGTCAGAGCCCTCCCTGGGGGCTCCAGATGGCCCAGCAGCACCCTGACTAGAATCACTCCTAGGGAGAGATCTGAGGGTAGCAGGGGGCAGGCAGCCACATCTGACACCTGAGCCTCAGGAGTGGCCTGCCGCTTGGGTAGCATGGGCATTATTATCACGTTTCAGATGAGGAAACTGAGGTCCGTGACCTCACAGCCAGTGAGTGGCTGAGTCTCAGTGGCTCAAACTCAAGCCTCTTGATGCTGGTTGCCGAGGCCACAGAGGCCCTTTCTGGAGAAGGGTGGACCCCACACACTGATCTACATGCAGCACAAGTGTGCAGGCAGCTGCCTGGGCCAGGCAGGCCTCATCAGTCCCCTCTCAAGCTGGGGCTGGGACTCCTTATGTCTGAGACAGAGGCAAGGCCTCTGGAATAAGCGAGCTCTTCTAGGGAAGGGGAGCCACGAGGGCCTCCACTGGGAAATCAGGTGTTGGAGGCCGAGACTCCCTCTGTCGGCCTCAGCCTAAGTGCTTCTGCAGGGTCTGCTTAGACTTCTCTGAGCAATTCTTGGCTGAGAAGATATTTTCTTTTCCCTTCTCTCAAACATGCCCCTGAGCCCAGGAAGCAGGACTGGTCATAACTGCCCTGGGTTAGTCCCTTATCAGATTCTAGGCACTGTGCTTAAGTCTCCGCAGGATGTCCTCTCTCCTGCCCCCCAAACCAGTGAACCAGGTGTCATTTGCTTTCCTATTGGTAGATAAGGAGACTGGTGTGAGAGCAGTTGGAATCTGGTCTAAGGTGAGGGCAGCACTGGGATTTGAGCCCAGGTTTGCCAGCTCCAAAGCCCATGCTCTAAGTTTTGGGGTTCAGACTGCACTTAGGGGCCTTGCCACTGATGTGGAAATTAAGCTTGCCACTAGGATCCCTCCAGGTGCCCTGGCAACAGCTCCCCTCTTCTCCTACCCTGTAGCCCCGGGTCGCTTCTCCTGCCCACCCGCCCTCTCCACCCCAGAATCACCCTGGAGTAACCTGTATAACCTGGACGGCATGGGGTGAAGTCACCTTCCTCAGTCTGCTGTGCTGAAGACTTTGGTGTTTGTTCGGGCTGCACCTGCTGCAGCTCCACTGTTTCCACAAGACTGGCAAGGAGTGCCAGCTCTGCACAGGCACAGGAACTGTGCCGGCTCCAGGTGCTACTGAACAGTGAAGCACCAAGTCCAGGCACAGATGACTTCTCGCTGCCCCCACCTTGGGCGGGCTGAGGCTGTGGGATACACAGGCCTGGGTGAGCCCTCTGAACCTCTAGGTGTGCGGCCAGGACCAGCAGCACAGATGCCCTAGGAAGAAGCCTGCCCATTGGTCCTGAAGTCTAAAGGATGGTGGTCCGCTACAGAGGAGACCACCCTGTGAACCCCTGGCGGCAGAGGAAGGCAGGTCCAGTGGGGGCAACTCATCCCCCTTTTACAAAGGGAAGAGAGGCTCAGACACAAACAAGGGAGCATCAGTGACCATTAGAGGAGCAAAACCCAACTCCCAGTCAGGGCATGGCTTTACTAGATGCTCCGTTGTCACAGTGAGGCAAACGTGGGACCTGTGCTATTTAGTCCTTTTTGCAGAAGACTCTGGAGCTACAGCCGATCTTCCCCTTCTTCTTCGATTATTTGTTTTACAGCCTCAGGATGGGCTGAGAATGACCACTGCTCTCCCTCCCTCTTCCCTCTTCCTTTTCAGTGTGGACTGCGGTTGGCATGACATTAAGAGCCGGTGCGAGGAAGGCATCTGACCTTGGGGAGGAATGTGGGAAATGTCTGCAGCCTGGAGCAGCCACCCCCCACCTGGGGCCCAGGAATCTGGGCTCCTGGCCCAGATGCCTGGGCCAAGTGAGGTGTGTACATGTGGCTGAAAGAGAACAGGGGTAGTGCGGATCCCTAGAACAACACTGTTGGAAGGACCCTTAAGGTCACCTGGTGAAACTCCGCCATGGTTACAGAAGGTAAAGATGACTGTCAATGTCGCCCTCCTCAAGGTACCAGCATAGCACCTTCTCTGATCTCACTAGGGCCTGGTCCCAGACTCCCGGAGTACCCTCAAGCCCAAGTTCATGGAGACAGCTAAATTTTGACTTCTCAGACCTATAAACCACAGAACGTCAGAGCCCTTTGAAATTACCAGCTACTACATCCATCCCATATTAGATGTGGAAATAGAGGCCCAGAGAGAAGCTGGCAGTTGGTCATAGGTACACTCATTATGGGCCAAGACTCTGGGTGTGTCCTTTACCCACGCCCTCCTGCTTCCATGATGCTGGAGGCCAGCATCTCCTTCTCCCAGTAAGGAGACTCGAGTGACCCTCCCCACCCCCAATCTCCCACAGGGCTGCTGCTGGGAGTCCAATGACTTCTGTGGGTGCCCTTAACTGCTAGGGGTGAGAGAAGCAGCCATGCAGCTACAGAGCAGACCCTGAAGGCCTTGCCTCTATGCTCAAGGCCACACGCCAGCTCCTGGTGAACAGGTGATCTGTGCTCTGGCTGGACGGCATCGATAAGGCCAAGCTAACGCCAACAGAGGCCCGAGGAGCGCCCCGGAGAAAGCGTTGAGTAAGGATTCTGCTGCCCTCTTGCGGCCATACCTGGGTATGACTGCTGTTGGCCAGGCCTCCAGCTGCTTATCTTCTCCAAACTACGGAAATCTCTCGCCTTCCTCTCCTGAGGGAAAGCGCTCTAGGAGGTCTGGATGGGGTGGGGAGATGACGCCTTGTTCATTGTTGGTTCCTGGAGGAAGAAGGCCTCAGGCCAACAGTCTGTGTTATCCAGAATGTTTGAGTGTGGGGAAGAGACTCTGTGGGGAAGAGACTCGGTGGTTTCCATAGAGACAGCCTAATCAACCAACACTAGAGATGACAGTTTGAAAATTTAGAGGATGTTTATTTCTCGGGAAGGTCCACAACAGCTGGCAGCCACTGCCCTCCCCGTTCTAGGGCATTTCTCTCTCTTTTTCCAAGAAATCTCCTCTCTTATTCGAAGTGCCCATGGAGGAGGCTGGGATGTGAAGAGAAACCATACACGACACTCCAGAGCCTTAAAAAAATTAAGCAACAAACAACCTCCACGCAAATGCACACATACAAAATAAATAGACGTATAAAAGAGAGGCTTTACTTCTCCAACCCTGGCTCAGGCTGCTTGAAAGAGGGGCCGAGTGGCTTTGTCCTACGTCTCCCAGCCAGGATTGTCCAGAGGCTAAATGGTATGGAAGCGCCTGACAGCCAAGAACAAGCCCTGGCTTCAGAGAGGGGACAGGCGCTGACCTCTCTCTGCAGCTCAGTGGGGATAAGGTACAAAAGAACAAATAAATAAATAAATAAATAGAAACCAACTGCTCCCAGAGGCCTAAAGACTTAGGCTGAGGCTTGGGGGCCCCAGGCCTATTTCCCTAAAAAGGACAGATCCAGTGACAGGCAGAAAGAATTACAGGGAGAACACAAGTCCAAAGCCACACTCAGCTGGCCTCCAGAACCTGCATCCCCCAGCTCTCAGAAGGTCCCAGTCCAGAACCCAGCCTTGAACTAGCTCTGGAAAGAGGGGTAGGCTGAGCCTGCTCTCTGGCCCGGCAGGTGTCCAAGGCTGGGGAGCTTCTCCCCTCTCTTCTCTGATGTCTCTGGGGCCGGGAGAGCCTCCCGCTTGCCCCCTTGTCTTCTTCCTGATCCGTCTCCACAGGAAGGAGCGGTGGCTGCCACCAGGGTGCGCTCTTCCTTGGGAAAGCTGAAGCATGGCCCTCTTCTGCTCCTGTTCTCATTGACCTTCCTAACTGGTGGCAGCCCAGTCCGCTGGGAGAAGTCCTTGTGTGACTGTAAATAATCAAGAGTCCAACTTCGTGTCCTCTTCTGCTCCATCTGGCCGCAGATGTCCCCACCGCCTCCAGGCAGTGCTGCCCCCAGGGCTCCTTTCAGGTCCACGAGGAGAAGGCATCGGACAGAGAAGCAAGAACAGCGACGGGGCAGGAGCGGCTGGAATGGACAGTTCAGGCAGGAGGCCACACTGGACACATGAAGAAGTCCAAAGGAGTCGGAGTCCTAAGGTCCCTCCTGGAGAGGCATGGCCAGCTGGGGGCCGGGGAGAGCATGGGGTAGGTGCTGGCTGGCCGCTCAGCTGGGCAGCAGCACATGCTCCAGGAGGTAGGTGAGGGAATCCCAGTGCTTCCAGAGGAGGAAGAGGACGAGAACCAGGAGGGCGGTGCTGGTGATGCGCAGGCGTGTCTTCATGAGGGGCGTGATGAAGTTGGCGATGGTGGACACGAACACCAGCAGCACGGCCATGAGTGCCAGGATCACATTGATGAACTTGCCCAGCAGCGCCCGCGCGTTGGCATTCTCCACACCCTCCAACTGCACCACCTGCTGCTGCTGCTGCTGCAGCTCCAGCTTGGTGACCCGGGTCAGGCAGGACTCCACGGCTTCCTGTGGGGCAGAGGGGTGGGCACACGGGAAGGTGAAAATACATAGGGTGCCCACTTCAAAGGCTGATCAGCTGCAGAGTCCTTTATTTATAACTATTTGGGGAGGCTGGTAGGAAACGGGAGTCTTGATTGATGTGGGAAGGGGAGGAGCTGGCCCAGTCCCAGCTTCCTCTTGAGGCACCGGAAATTCCAATTATTCATTAGCAAGGCTGCCATCAGAACTGGGGGCACAGAGGCCCTCATCAGTCAGCTTGCCTTTGCGCGGGTTGCACACTCTCCGCCTCGGGCTTGCCTTGCCTTTACCTCCACCCTACCCAACGCTGCCCTCTTCGTCCGCCTGCCCCAGCTGACAGAGCAGCCTGTGCCCATCATCCCCCACTTAGTAACTCCTCCCCCTCTGGCTGCTGCCAGCTCTGTCAGCACATCTGGGTCCCTTGTGGTACCTGGATGTCCCGAGCCCTCTCATAAGACTGGTAGGCCACCTTCTCCTCCATGCTGGCCAGCTCCTGCTTCAGGTTGGTCATCTCATTCTGGTGAAGCTCGGTCAGGTCGTTGAGCTGCTCCTCCAGCCGCTCGTACCTGGCAGAGGAAGGGCAGGTGACACCAGTCCTGGCTCCCAAGCCTCCCTTCTCTCTCCAGGATCAATTCCATTCATTCTCAACAATGACTCAACCCACCCCACGTGTTCAGCTCCATTCCAATTTTAGCAGCAACGACAATGAAAGGTATTATTCACACAGCACCTACGTGCAGGAACTGGCTGAGCACTTCACCCACATTATCTCATAGGTTCATCACTTTACAAGATAAGTGCTAGTGTTGCCCGCATTTTACAGACGAGAAGACTAAGGCACAGAGAGGTTAAGGAATTTGCCCTGAGCTAAGATGCTCTCCCGGGTACCAGGCGCACAGGGATTCAGAGACATGATCCCTGTCTGCTCTGAAGGCACAAATATCGAAAGATGACTATTAGGTGGGGGTGGTTAGTTCCCCCAGGCAGGGTTCCTCCTCCATTTTCCAAACCTCCCTCATATATATAAACAAGAAAAAGTGCTAAAGAAAAGATCCTGCAGAATCCCAGGGAGCATGTGCCAAATGCCACACGAAAGGCACAAAGCAGAAGAGCAGGGCAGGCTGGGGGGGTCAGAGACTCCAGCTCGGTTCACGCTGAACGCGCCATGTGTACCCTTTGACTACACAGGTTTGGCCTTATGCGACCCTCACAGACCCGTCGAGGGGGGATTCATGCTATTCCCGCCCTCCATGTTCGGAGAACAGTGAGGTCTTTGCTCAAGGCGAAGAGTAAATAGTTGAGCTGGGATTTTAACCTAGGTAACCTGGCTCCACAGTCAGTTCTCTTAACCAGCGTCTCTCCAGAGGACAGCCTACGTCACTGGTCCCTGCCTCAGTTTCCCCTTCTGCACACTGACCACATAACCATCAAGTAGGGATGTTCAAATCTCCTGAGATGGGCAGAGACTTCCTTCCGTAAGTCCCGTAATCCTATCTCCCGGCTGCTCTGACCTGTCTGGAGGAAGGCTCCTCTGGGATTCTTCCTGGCCCCTTCCAGCAGCCCAAGACCCCTCTAGATGCTCCTCTTTCTGCCTCCACAACCTAGAGTCTGAAACCTGGTGCTCGTCACTTCACGACAGGGGTCACCGGGCAGCGGCAAAGGTGGAGGAGGCACCTACCTATAGCGCTCCTCCTGCAGGCACTGGGTCATGTAGGTGTAGTCCCTCTGCAGCTGAGCCTTCAGGTCCTCCATCGAGTCCTCCAGGTGGGACTGTCCCTCTTTGATCTCCCGCAGCTCCTCCAGCAGAGTGTCCAGGTTTCCAGGGGCCCCATAGAGCATGTTCGACTTGGGGCTCCCCAGCACCCCAGGGGGCCCAGCCCCGGAGTTGCTGCCTGCCCCGGCCGAGCTGGCACTGGCACTGGAGCACTCGTCATCACTGCCGTACTTGGGGCTGGACACAAGAGTGGCGCTGCCGCTCAGCGCCCGGGCCGCCTCCTCGGGGGGCCCGTCCTCCAGAGGGTCCTTCAGGTGGGCGATGTTGTCGGCGCTGCCAAACTTGTTGCGGATCAGGCTGGCAAACTCACGGGGCTTGGACACCACAGCGGTGTGGGTGGCCTGGGAGAGGCCCGAGAGGCTGCCCTTGACACCCTCGACCACGCCGCCCCCGAAGCCACTGATACCTGCACGCATGTTGGCACCCACGTCCTTCAGGCCCTGCTGCATGTCCCGAAGCACGTCCTTGGGCTGCCTGGAGGGCCCGTTCTGCTCGATCTCCCGCAGGCGCCGGCGGTAGTGCTCCAGCTTCTTGTGCAGCTGGGCGATGGTCTGGGCGGACTTCTGGTTCTTCTTCTCAAACACTTGCTTAATGCGAGACACCTGCTGCTTGTCCGCGTTGTTGGCCAGCTTCAGGTACTCTGCCACGTTGTCGTCCCGCGCCTCCTGCTCGATCTTGATTTGCTCTGTGATCTTCAGGATCTTCTGATGCAGGTGGTCGATGGCAGCCTTGGTCCGCTGGGGGTCTGGGGCCCCGTCTGGCACATCCAGGCTGATGGGGCCGTCCGTGTCACCATGGCCGGGGCCACCGGGGAGGCTCAGGGCCACGAGGTCTCCCTTGTCGACCTGGGGAAGAAAGCAAGCAGAGGAAGCCTGGGTAAATCATGAAAGCACGGGAGGGGGCTGGCAGGATTCCCTCATGCGCCCTGACATCTCTGGACTTGAGTTTTCTGCCTAGAAAATGAATGTAGATGAATAGCAAACTTCAGAGAAATAATCCAAAATAACAACAACAATGATAACAGTATTCCCTTACAGCCACCATTTAGCTACTTGTCATCTATTATCTAACTCAGCAGTCCTCAACCTTTTTGGCACCAGGGAACGGTGCTCCCGTGAGAATCTAATGCCTGATGATCTGAGGTGGAGCTGAGGCGGTGATGCTAACGCTGGGGAGTGGCTGCAAATAGATGAAGCTTCACTTGCCCACTGCTCACCTCCTGCTGGGCAGCCCAGTTCCTGACAGGCCACGACCTACCGGTACTAGTCCATGGCCTGGGGGTTGGGGACCCCTGATCTAATTGATCCCTACAAAATCGCTGAAATGCAGTCTAGACATCTGCTCCTCCTTCAGGCCAGAGTTCAAGCTCAAGTTCAGAGACACACAGCTACAAAAAGACAGAAGCTCCAGTCTAGAACTCTTGTTGCTCCATCTCTCAGACCAAGCAGGTCTGAGGGTTCACTGAAGAGCCACAGATTTGGCTTCTCAGGCATAAGAAAAACTGTCCCTCTGGACCCAACCTCCCATAAGGCTCCTGTCCTGAGCAGGCCTCTCCCTCAGAGCTGACCAAAGCCTACGCTTTGGCCCCGACGTAGGCACAGGAAACCTGGCTGCCCTCCCCACGCCAGCTTCTCTAATGCAGTTCAGCGGGTCACCCCACCTCTGCTAATAGCCCCCTGGCCCCTGTTACCTTCCAGCTCTCTGGAGTTGTCAGCAACCTCCTCCTCTTCATAATGGTGGAAGCACCCGACCCTGCCCAGTCTCCCAGAACCGGCAGAGAAGCACACTACCACCCGCCCGGCTGGCCAGGCCCCCGAGGACACAAGTCCCAGAAGTAAACCGCAGGCCAAGGGAAGCAGGGAGCAGTCTGGGGGCCCAAGGGTTCCAACTGCCCGGCATGGAAGGGGGCGAATGTGCAGGAAGATGATGGCCCCCTTTCCCCGATGGCAGGCAGGCAGGCTTCCCGGGTGCATCAGCGGGGCACAAAGAAGAAGGACTGAGAAAGGACGTGGGGAGGGACGAAAAGGAAGGAAGGCCACAGAAGACAGGAAAAATAGAAAATACAGGTCAGGTGACAGCAGGTGGGCCTGGAGTCCCCTCTCCCAGGGCCGGTCCCCCCTCGGCCTGTTGGAGGATCTCTTTCCACAGCCCAGTCCCCAGTGTCTTATCACCATGCAACAGCGGAAGCAGCAGGAAATGGCTCAACCCCATGTATTTTTACACACAGCACACCCCAGTACGGCTGGGTCAGATCATCACTCCTTATATGTATGGGGGCGAGGAGGCGGGGGACGGTATATGTGGGGGAACAAAGAAAGTGGCCCCTGTCACACGTACCGGAACTGGAAATAGCCCGTGCCAATCACAGGCAGAGGTTATTGGGCCCAATGTCTGCTGAGATGCAAAGGTATTGGAAAACACTATTGAAAACAATAGTCCCACCAAACTCGGAGCCAAGGGGAAGGCGGCTCCTCTTTGGGCTTCCTCTGGGGCCTTTACAGGTCACAGTTCCATTTGAGATGCTGGAGATGCTACTGATCCCTTTGCCACCTCTCCTGAAGTCAGGACTTTCCTCTTACATTTGCTTGGGTCTCCCCTCACGTGCCCCGGCTCTCCCACCATGCGCTCATACCGTCAGGACCCTGCTCCTCAGACATGATGACCTGGTATACCAGAGAAGCCAATTCCACAGTCCCGTACATGATCTGTCCCCAGGTCTAAATGTCACATCAGTCTGAATTAAAACTAACTCGCACTTAAACCTCGTTCTCCTACACTGTTTCCTGCAGAGATAGCCAACAGCCCATCTTCAATTGTCCTGTTTCTTTGTATCCCCATCTGTGACATGGGATCATCATATCTACTCTCAGGTCTTTCGTGAGGGTCACATAAGATGAGCTCTAGCGAGCACTGAGCACGGCGAAGGGCATACAGAAGGCACTCATAAATGGTGTCTGGATCTAGGCAGCGCAATTCCTTTGTGGGGGATGAGGGGAAATAACATTTATCTAAGAGATTATATCAACAAATTTACTCAATATCAATACAATATAGATATTGAACTATGCAAAATTAAATTCCATATCCAACATATGGCTTTTAAATTAAAGAACTTGACCCTCTCATAAGGCCACTGTGCTTTCCAAAG